TTGTTAATCGAAATATTATGGGTTTTTTTTCTTGCTCATGTCAAATTATACTAAGTCCATGTTTGGTAGCAATTTTTCATTCTAAAAAATTAATTTTTTTATCGTTATTTCACTATTCCAACCGTCATTTTTTACTTCTTCACTCATAGGTGAAGCCCACTTTTTTCTCCAAATGTCAAAAAATCAATTTTCATAATCACTATCGAACGGACCTAAGCGTTTGTTTATCAAGCGTTTAAAAAGTCAAAAGTTGATTCTGAGACTAAGTATTTACTTTTGAACATGGTTAAATAATTTTCTTAAAATGTTTTATCTAATTATAAAATTTTTTAGAGAAAATCCATATAAGAAAACTTTTTTAAGAAATTGTTCTACAAGAAGTAAAAACTAAAGAAAGATCCTATCGAAAAGGGCTATAAGTCTAGCATGTTAAACATATTCATGAATTGTGTTCGATATTTTTCTTTTTCAAGAATAACAAACATATTCCTTGTGAAACATAAATAAAATTTCACATGGACGGTGGAAGACCCTTAAAGTTGGGATTCAAACTTTTTGTATAAATGAAATTTCGTAATAGCAGGAAAAATAAGCAATCATTATCTGAAAAAGGAGAATATTTGGGGCATTTGAACCTAGTCACTTTCTAGGAACAAAAGCCAAGGCCCAGAAATTGAAGAAATAAGTGTGAACACGGACAGCATTGGGCCATCTGTTTCTTTTGTTGGGTGGGTGCGTGGCGACTGGGAGGGGGTTGAACCTTGTGGGACTGTCCTAGGCTTAGGCTTAGGCTTAGGCTAGGGCTAGGAGTGACGCATAAATTCTTTGATTTTATACTAGGTCAAGTTCTGCAATAATATTAAGCATAGAAAATTCAAAGTTGTCAATTAATTCAAAACGTTGGGACAATGATTGATACTGTCCATAATGGCTTGTTTGGAAGCGATTTTTTCACCCAAACAAAAAATTGATTTTTTGACCGTTATTTCACTATTTCATTCGTCATATTTGATTTCTTCTCTCACAGATAAACCCCATTTTTCTCCTAACAATCAAAAAATTTAATTCTTAAAATTACTCCCAAACAGGCCCTAAATAAGTTTTGTGGTGACTTTGGTGGGTGAGAATATCGATGCATTAAAAGTTGAAAAGGAATAATTAAATGATTTCATAATTGGACAATTATATGAAATTTTCTCATATTTAGACATTAGAAATTGAGAAATATCATGTGGAGGTTCGGATCAGCTTCGTATGATTTTGGCACGTGACGTGAAAGAATTGATTAGGTAACGGACAGTATCTTAGAATTGAGATTCAATCAAATATCAAAAAAATAAACAAATTTGGGCGCATGAATAGGAGGGAAGAAAAAGTTTGGGGAAATGAGAAATCATTTTCAATCTCCAAGATTAATCTCTTTAATTACCTTCTTTTGTTTGTTTCTACATTTTTACGAAGAATTTGTTCAAACGTTTTGACTATGAATTTATTCCTGCGATCACTTTATTAAAGATGTTTTTTTTTTTTTTTTTTTATATTCAGGTGTCCCAATTTCGCCAGACTAAATCTTGGACCCCTAGCCACCGGCCCCTCAATGACTAGCGGAGGTAAACCGCAAGATGTGCCCTTATTGGATCACAGATTCCCACCCGATTTTTACTCCTGGCCCCAAGAGAGCTTTCCTCCATAGTGATTGATCCACCAATAAATTGTCTATTTATTGGATCACAGGTTCCCACCAGGAATCAAACTCTCCACGTTGAGGTTGCGAGCCCGCCAAAGTTATTGATCCACCAACTCGGATGTGCCCTGGGGGCTTATTAAAGATAGTTCTTATGCATAAAGAGTGATAATATGTAGTTTTGGAAATCTTAAAATAATAAGTACAATTGATTCTTGAATTTTAAATTAATAAACTAATATTTGTGTGTTTCAGACGTAGAATATACATCGAAGTACAAAATAAACTCAAAAATTTCTCAACTAGATAATTTTTATGTTGTATCCTAAAGACAAGGCCCTTCCTCACATTAGCATTCGTCTCTAACGACTTCATCCAATTGTATGAAAACCTATTGCTTTTCATAGTTGTTTTATAGAGTTGATCTGTTGTAATATTCTTGCTAAATTATTTAGAAAGAAGCAATTTGTGTACGAGTTTTTCATATTCCCTCTTTGAAAAGAAACTTCATTAAAATAAACTCATACGTGAACTAAAATAATTAAATTACTCTCTAAATCGCCTTTTTTTTCCGACATGTTCTATGAAACATTTCAAGTCCATCTATTAGCAATCTATGCATAAAATAACCCACCAAAATATGGCTAATGTCTAAAGAAAGAGAAACTTTTATAAATTATTACAATTATCTGAACTATTGATTTTTTTCAATTTTATTTTTTTATTTTTTGGAAGTCTAAACTAGTAATATGAATAGATTATATCCATTTGGCAAATGGAATTTATTATTGCTGACATGATTTGTCCTTTTGAATATACATTTGGCCACTAACCTATTTTAATTGGGGAAATTTGCACTTTTCATCCCAACCTTTGCGAAATATAACTAATCTATTCTCAACTTTTTTTAAGCATAATTCATCGCCAACCTTTCAATTATGTACTCATCATTCCCTTTATTTTATCCATTAAATGGCGGAATTGTCATTCTTTCAAAACAAACAAATAAAAAAGAAAGTACTAAAACAATAAAAATAAATAAGAAAAAATTACAAATAAAGTTCCATAACCTTTTAATAGTACAAATAAAGTACACATACTGCAATTAAATATATTAACACAATTATTAGAATTTAGAAAAATTTCACCTTCTCCAACCAAGTTCATCCTCTCAAACCACTCCATCCCATTCTAATCCATCCCTACCTATGATCAAATACCACATCCACAAAATGCAATCACGTCAATAGTAGCACCACCACCATCACCACACCTTAGAAAAGTTAATTCAAAAAATAGAAGATGGAAAAAGTGTGGACAAAAATAGAAGTCTAGGTCGCAAAATAACCACGAACAGTGAATGCATTTATAGATATGGTGTTTGTGGTGTGTGTTTACACGGGTGGATGAGTGAGCTTGATTGGAAAAAGTAAAAAATTTCTACATTTTTTTTTGTGAATTAATATGTATTTAATTATTTAAGTATGATTTACACAATACTTTTGAAAATTCATAATTTTCCTATTTGTAATTTTTATTTATTTATTTTATTATTCACTACTTTCCTTTATGTTCGTTTATTTAAAAAAAAAAATGACAATCATCATTTAATGACCATAATTGAAAGGTTAGTGATGGATTATGTTAAAGAAAAAGTTGATGATAGATTTGTTACATTTCACAAAGGTTGAACTCAAAAAGTGCAAATTTCCCTTTTAATTAAGCTTAAAAGCCAGTCTTGACTTTTCCCCCAAAAAAAGAATCTTTAATGAGAAATACTTATCATTATTGACCATAATAAAATGGATTACATGCTAATCAAGATTCTTAATTTCATTAATCACAAATTACAACTCACTGCCAGCACCAAAATGTATCAAAATCCATCTGCATGTTGAACAACTATTATATTTTCTTGCAAGGGAAAAAAAAAATTAACAATACCAGTTGCCCAACTTTTCGATGGGATTATCTTAGATTTTACACGTATGAAATATATTCTTTTTATTTTCATAAGCAAAGTCTTCATAGTGCACTGATGAACATATTAAATTATTCATGTAACTTAGAGCTAAGCATATATGCCTATGCAAGAAGCAAGATTCGCAAAGTCATTACGTGAGAGGCATTGTTGTTGACTCTTGAGGAATCAATTGCTCATTTGAAAGATTATAACGTTTGCATACGAAAATTTATATGTACTTATGTTTTCGTGAGTCTTTTTACATATGGATTGAACCCCTGTTTGACGTCCACTTTGCGGAAGTGAAAATTGGTGGAATGATGTTTTTTTTTGAAAAAAGAGTAGTTGAAAAAGAATGAAAATTTTCGATTTATATGTAATATTATTTTATGAAAAATTGTGTGGTTGAAAATATGACTGAAAAATAAAATATAATGGAATGAAAAGTAAAAAAGGATTTAAAAATTCCCAATTATGGGCTAGATAATTTATGAACCACTTAAAGTTGTGGTTCGCACTCACATGCATTACTTTTTTCTTTTTTTTTATCCAAAGGTAACAACTAATCGTTCAATGGATTCATGACCTCAAATCAATGACATCATCATTATCATCTCTCTCTATAGCACACGTTAATATATAAACACGGAAGCAAGTTTGAAGATTCTTTGGGTGCTTTTCTCTTCCTTCAATTCTTGACTTTCGACAATAATTCTAGTTTCTTAGAAACTCCTATGCTTGCCTAATCTTTTTCCTTGTCATCCAAAATATTTTTACTTATTTGTTTTCATTATAAAACATTATTAAATAAATTTGTATTGTTCTTAAATCTTAATTGCTCAAAAATTATAGATAAAATGGCTTAACGATAATGTTAGTAGATACTAAACTTATTTTTCAAGAACTTGGAAGTTATATAAATTTGTTCCGCTACTCTATTCGATTCTTGAAAAAAATTTGAAATGACCAAGAAAGCATAACTTCAAGAAAATATAAAAGTTTTGTACATCACATTTAATAATAATTAATAAATGCTATAGGGCCCTTTGACATGGTCCGCAATTGGGATTTACAATCTCAGTTCAAAATTTGTGCATAATTTCATATGACCCCTGGAGAAAAATTGAAGCTACTCTATTCGATTCTTGAAAATTCCTTGAAAAGATTTTGAAGATGACTGTGATACAACAGCTTCGAGGAAATATAAAAGATTTGTACATCACATTTAATAATAATAATAATCTGCTATAGGGCCCTTTGAAATGGTCAGCAATTGGGATTTTACAATCTCAGTTCCAAACTTTGTATATAAATTCATATAACCATTATAGAAAAATCCAAGCACCCTTTTTTCCCAGTCAAAAATCTCATCTTTTCCACAACTTTCGTTCTATATATACCCCTCTCCTTTCTTGCCACTGCATCACTAAACACACATTTACCAAAAAATGCTCACTATCTCTCTGCCTTGAATAGGGTTCTTTCATATTAGAATTTTCTCCTTTTTGAAGTCATTTTTTTGTCATTAAAACTACTGATCCAGATACCTTTCCTTCACCCTTCGCTGTATTTTCATGTAAAGTTCTGATTCTGGGTCATTAAAGCTGCTGATAAAGATACCCTTTTTGCCATCTAATGTAAAGTTCTGATTTAAATAGCTTAAGCCTTTTATACCAAATTGTATGTTCTTGCCTTAATTTGCAGTCCACAATTCAAACAACACCATTGTCTTTTCTTGCACCTCAAAGAATGGAAAAAACTGGTACTTTGGAATGCAAGACTCTAATCAGCGAGTTAACTCAAGGTAGGGAACTGGCAAACCAGCTTAAAAACTACCTTCATCCGGCAAAATCGCACGAGGCCTGCGGGATTTTAGTGGAGAATATACTCTCTTCCTATGAAAATGCTTTTTCATTGCTAAATTGTATGGTTATGTTTGGAGAAACTTCATCAGTTTCTGCTGCCATTTTGGAGTCACCTAATTCCCTTGCTGGTACTCCAACCAGTGAGGGCTCTAACCCTTTTTCTAAGGATCAAAACCAACGAGACGTATTCAAGAAAAGGTATGTTTCAAGAAGTAAAAAGAAGTGAAAGTTATTTTCAAGCTTTGATTGCCACATGTAGTTTTAAAAAGTTACCTTTTTAGAATAACTTTTAAGCTTAGCCAAACATGTCTTGTAATTTGATAAACTTAAATTGATCTTAATCCATTTGGGTATCCTTTTACAGAAAGATATTGCCTAAATGGAGTGAAGAAGTTCGCGTTTGCTCTGGGACTGGACTGGAAGGAACTCTTGATGATGGATACAATTGGAGAAAATATGGCCAGAAAGATATTTTAGGGGCTAGCTTCCCGAGGTGAGGATTTTATGTTTTCACCTTTGTCTAGTAAGTAGCCTCTTGTTTGCAATTTTTCGCACATTCAGTACGAAAAATATCAGAATCATTATTAAGAAACAACGGAATATGATATGTTTGTCCTTTATCATACCGAGTCTAATAACTCAGCAATTCATAATGAAGTACAATTTAAGGTTCATTGAACTAGTGGGAGGTTAAACTCAAGGAAGGTGGGATTTATTTGACTTTGAGGTTGAGACTTGTCCAAAATTGAAGTCACTGGAAGGATTCTGCTTCTGACTTCTCAATGAATTTACAATCATTGTTAAATACAATGTCCTTGAACTTACCAAGTTGGAGAAGCATAGCAACTTGCCTCATGACTTAACATTTGATGCAGATTAAGGAATTTCAGAACCATTCTAATTGAACAAAAACTCGGGTCCATTTCTAATATGCATGTGATTACAGGGCATATTACAGATGCACTCATCGTCATACGCAAGGATGTTTGGCCACAAAACAAGTCCAGAAATCAGACGAAGACCCCTCAATTTTTGAGGTCAACCATAGAGGAAGGCACACTTGTATTCAAGAAAGGCTAAAGCAGAAGAAAGAAGATTATAATGTAAAGGAAGTAGACAGCAATAATAGACAGGCAGAGGAGATGGTGATCAGCAACGAACCAGGCATTAAACTTGAAACTTCAGATTTGAATCCTAAGGAGGAAATAGATCCTTCCTTCTCCTTTCTTCTGACTCCAATTTTATCTGATGACGTGGAAACTAAATTCTCGTTAGAGCCTGCCAAGGAAAGCAATCTCACGGAAAGTAATACGTCTCCATTTCTATCCCCAGCCACATCTGAGTGTAACTATTTCTCAGAATCACTGTGCCAGATGAACGACTTCTGGGTTGATGTTGATAACAACTTGCAAAGCTCAGAATCAGATTTTGCCGAAAAAATTTCCACCCCAACTTCAGTCACCAATTCCCCATTCAGATATTGGGATTTCACAGCTGATCCATTGGAGTTGGATCCTAGTTTCCGTCTTGATGCCTCTGAGTACTTTTGACTTCATAGTTCATACCACATATTCATTCACTCAGAGAGACCAGGTGTCAAATATGTGCTGCAATAAAGTGCTTCTGTACCTGTTGATCCTATTGTGCAGATGAAATGTGTTTATAAAAGTAGGTACATAGTTTCAATGTCTTGCGGAATTTGAGTCTCCAGTGGTGTAAAATGAGTGAGTTTTCCTTGCATAAGTAGATAGTCTGGAATCATTCTGTTTTTGCGTATTTGTATCAGCTGTTCGAAACCAAGAGCATTACATGCTTTGGTTCTGAAATCATTATTTCTCACCGAGTAAATGTTCGAGAAAATAAAAGTTTTCATTGAGCATAAAAGTTTAATCTTTTGCACATATTCGTAATACAGTGGAATCAAATAATTTCCAGCTTCTTTGAGCCCCAACTAGTTTCTCTCTTGTCTTCAATGAACCTGAAATAAAATGGTAAAAATGAAACTTTATAATTCTCGATCCAATACAATTAGAATTGTGAATTTGTAGTAGCTCAAAGTTCTCAATGTCTGGTGAAGCATTGTCTTAGCCTAATATCCAGCAAGTATAAAGTTCTGCCAGTCTTTGGTTGGGGTAAAAGAACTGAAGTTGAAGCTTAACGTGTATCACAAATTCGAGTTTTACTATCTTGTCAATTTTAGAGGTCTCTGTTATTTATCTTACTATTATGACATTATTATTCATTACTCTAGAGGCTGCCTTAACTACTACTCATGAAGCATGAGTCAAGCGACAAAAACTGTAATTTTATAAACAGAGATTTTCAGCTGTAACTGTTCTGTGTCAAAGATGGCTTCTATGTGCTTCTAACTTAGCTTCGCTTAACAAGAACAAATTTTGAAGTTTATGGACCAAGGAGATCTGGCTCCAGATATTTTTCTAGGCAACCAATGAGTAGCAGCAGGATTTGAACCCAAGAAACTTCGAATTTATGACACTATATTGAATGACCAACTCATTTTAAAGTTTTAGTTGTTAGACGGAAGATAAGTTTAGGTATATATATAAATGTTCCCAATATTCTACTCAAACTAAAAAGAAGCTAAGGAAGAAACCCAGAAAAAGAAGTTGAAATTCTTACCCTTGA